TTTTACATTTCTAAGCCGCATTTTTAAGGGAGAAGGGGAGAGGGATGAAGACAGGGGAAGGAATCGAACACTCTTCAACAGAAGAGGAGCTAATTCATGGCTCTTACCTGCCCTAAAGCAGGCGTTTTACTGAATGTGTAATTTTAGGTGAGGCACTTGACAGCATTTATAAATTTAGGGAGGAGAATTATCTAGCATCATTATGTGGCTAACTAAATAAGCTGCCATATATGCAAGAACTTACGGGCAACCTAGCACAGAATAAATATTTGCTAAACATTAGTTCTACTGGCATTAGGGGGTGGGGTGGGGGGGTTGTGGAGAAGAAGCCAGCTCTTTCTGTATTTTCTTTTTCATTTTTATCTACTCATTATAGATGTTTATTGGAACAACCTAAAGCATCTATTTTATAATCATAAAATAGTAGAGCTGAGAGAGAGTTCTGGGGCTCATCTGGCCCAGTGTCCCATTTCCCATTAGAAAAACTACAGGCCAGATAAACACAATGACCTGGACAAGATCCCCAGGGGTGGGTAGGTGGGTGGGTGGGGGTGTTGAGTTTAAGTTTCAGGTCCCTTAACCTTCCCAGCTCTATGCCGCCCCCACCCCCACCCCCGCACCGTCCCCTGTACACCCACTGGGCATTCAATACCACAGAACTGGTTTCTTTAAAGTGAAAAAAAAAATTCAAATCAACAATTGATAACTAGCCAAACTGACCCACCTCACTTTGCATCTTTTGAGCCTCCTTTGAAGCTTGATATGATGGGGTCTCCACAAATTCAAGCATGGATTTTCCCTTGTTTTTCTCATAGTCTTCTTTGTATTTAACCTTCAGTGAGAAAAAGCAAAAAGGGGTAGAAAACAGATGTAGATCTCGAAAGCCTTTATACAAATAGAGCCAAGGACAATTGACAGAAATCCAAATTTAATCATGTGTTTCGGTAGCTCTCTAGGTCCTGTGGTTAATGTCACATACAAGAACTGGTAACATATAAAATTATACTGAGGTGAAAAAATAACTCGTGACTTCCTATTAGTGTAGTTCTGGACACACTTGTATAAAGCACTTTATCAAATCGTTGGGCTTATCTTGAGACACAGCAATCTGAAGCTTTGAATGTCTGTCAGACATAAACTAGAAGGAAAACACATGTGATTCTCTGTTGCAAAGAGTGATGCAAAATGTTAACAGATTCTAGAAGTGACGTCTGCAACTATTTAAATAGGGGATTAAAAAAATTAGAAACCCCTTCCAAAAGTATTTTGGGACAAATAGTTGGAAGGGATGTGGGTCAAGAAGACACTGAAAGACAGTTTTCCTTGGGAATTCCACTTACAATTCAACCTTGCATCTGAAACATAAATCTTCATTATGAGACGTGACCCACTGTTTAATCAATTCCCATGATTAAGTGTTGTACCTCTATTGTAATATAGGGCGCAAGCTCCTCCTGACCCAAACAATGTACAGAAAGCAGGGTCTGGAGGGTTCCAGAGCACTGTGAGTGTTCTCAGGACACACGTTCCTCTCAGTGCGTTCCCAGCTGCAGAAGCAGGACCCACTGAGCGGGGGCGCATGAGGTGGTGCCCGCCTTGGCAGGGGTACCTGGCTCTGGAGCGTGGCATTGCCTTTATGGTGCAGGTGTTCCGCAGCGTCCATGTCAAAATGGTACAGTCCTTTATTTTCCTCAAAGTGCTTTTTATATTCCCGCTGAAAGACAGAACATGATAATAAATTCAGAATGAAAGGGGCTAATGGATGGGAAGCAATTACTACTGAGGACTGCAACCCAGAACATACAAGCCCAAAGGCGTGGCAAAGCTGTTGTTAAGGTGCCAGAGCAGTAGCCGTCTTGGGAGACTTCCGAAACTGAGGTCAAGAGCAAACAAAAGACGGACCGTTCTACGCGGCTAAGTAAACGGCATAGGAAATACTCATGCTAGCAGGGGGCAATCCGCAGTCTACGCAGCATAAAAAGGCCACCCCAACAGCCGAGAAGCAGCCACGGAACAGCCAGCGTAAATACACGTGCAAATACGCAAGGTGGTGAAATAAAGGCGCTCTAGCACGCCCCTACCATAAAAAAGAAATGCGTGTAACTGCGCAAACAAGAAGAGAGGGAGCCCCGGATTGGCTCAAATGGTTACACATTCAACAACTAGCCAGAAGGCTGAAGGTTTGACCCCACCCAGAGGTGCCGCATTAACAGGAGGGTGATCTGCTTCCCAAAGGTCCTAGCTTGGAAAATGGTCCGAGGCTGATCGAGTCAGCACTTTTTGACTCACCAAGTCAGCATTGCCTCTACAGCCAGGAGCAGCAAGAACCCAAGAAGAGAATGAAGGGTCACTGAGGTGGTTAGTTTACTGTGTCAGCCTGGCCGATAAACACGTGGGGCTAATTGAAGGGCGGAGGGATAAATGGCTTGGTGAGCCTCGCCTTTCTAGTCTGGGGTTTATTGCTTTCTGATGGT